CGTGGGGTTGTGGGCTCACAAACCCTCCATTAATGTCTCTCGCGTTTTCTCCGTTCACCACAACTATGAACAGTAAGACAATGGCCACCGTTCCGTTCTGTCATAACCCGTTAACGTTTCATGCACCCGAAACGTTTCGGTTTCTGTCCGAGGCGAATTCTCTTTACGAGTCTTTTTTCAGCAAAACCCACTTCTCGGTTTCTTCTGTTTCGTTCCCAAACCAGCTTAACATCTTCAACCCACCATGTCATACCAACGTGTCGGCTGAAATCCCGATTTGTGGTGTTAGTGGTAAAGAATCGGAGTCCCAAACCGAAACTCCTCCGGTTCTTGACGGAATCGCGGCCGTTGTCGGCCAACATGTCCTCTATGGAAGCCAAAGGACTTGTAACGTCCCAACCAACGGCGAAACGACACAAATTTCGGAATTCGGTTACTGTTCGGAGCGTATCGGTTCAGCCGAAACTTCCAAAAAAGATGCCGACAACAAGAAAGGTATCGGAAACCTTTCGGTGCAAAAGAACTACAGGGGAGTGAGGAAGCGTCCATGGGGAAGGTGGTCGGCGGAGATAAGAGACCGAATCGGGAGGTGCCGGCACTGGCTGGGAACGTTCGACACGGCGGAGGAGGCGGCGCGTGCTTACGACGCGGCGGCGAGGAGGCTGAGAGGTGCGAAGGCTCGGACCAACTTTGAAATCCCATCAGTGTTTCCGCTCTCCTCACCTTGCTCATCATCTTCTTCTTCAGACGCAAAGAGAGTGATTAGGGGTAAAAATAATATTAAGGGTTTGAAGAGCAAGAGAAAATGTTCAGTGGTGACTTGTGCGGCTCATTTGTTTAGTGAGGCTCCGACCCATCTTAGAAGCCAAGTTATGGAGATCAAAGAAAATGTTGAGCTTGATTTGAAGCTGGGAGTTGGAGTGAGGGATATTGGTAAAACAAGCCCGTAATGGAAATCATGTGTTCTGCCTGTTCTTTAGTTTAACTTTCTACTTCTTTGGGTATTTTTCCTTTCTGCTTAGTCATGCATGGGTTGGAACTTGGATGTGCATGACAATGTAAGCAAGCAAATGGATTTGGTGGATTTTGTAGCCAATATATAAAGTATTAAGATTTCAAGTTTTCAAGAATATTTTCATGTTTGTGACCTGGGTTTTTAGTGTTGAAGAAATCTTCTGAGGCTTGACCTTGTTTAAGATTCTTCATGTGGTATATATTTACACATACATTCAAGTAGCAGTCTGATAATAGGTTTCTGATTTTGCAGGATTTTATCTTGTATCCGTACTGAATGCTGAGCATACATTTTTGTTGAGCAGATGATGATGTAGTATGCCTGGAGACTTTGAGTATTTCCTGGCCTTAACTCGGAGTACAATTAGAACCAACCAAATAGGTGACCTTTTTCTATGCACTGCACTCACTGAGATCTCAGGATCAGAAAAAGGACCCGCAACCAAGTACAATTATAACCAATAAAGTCTAGATAAAAACCAAACCCTAGCTGCACTGTTTTACATGAAACTGACACCATTTTTTTACTGTTGCCTTCCACTCCATGTTTACATATTTGTTTGATTACAAATTTATAAATAAACTCACATGTATTTATAAAAAAATTCAAGCACTATTTAAATATAAAAATACACGCAAAATCAACTCCAAAATTAATAATTGTATATTTTTTTGGTGTGTTTATAAATGGGTTTTGAGTGTGTAATGATGGATTTTGGGTGTGTTTATAAAGTGTTTTGAGTGTAAGTTTTTTTATAATTTCAGTCTCTATTTTGGGTGTTTTAGTGAAACTTCCTTGTTTGATTTAGGAATCCAAAAGGTTAAAATTGGAGTGCGAGCAACAGTATATGTGTATATGATGCCTAGAAGAGTGGAGAGAGAATGGTCTTGACATGTAGATCGATGATCTCAAATTCAAATTACCATGACATCATAACAATGTGTGAGCGTAAAACCCCTCATGTTTCCTAACTTCGGTAACAAAAAAACAGTGTATACATGTATATCCCGCCTTTTATTATACAAAAGTTGCACAAAACAAGAATACAAATGGAACTTATATGTCACATCATCACTATTTTTTATTGCACATAAAATCAAATATCAGGTCTTCATTTTGTGCAAAAGCTAACTTTATTCTTTAAAAAAAAGAAAAAAAGAAATGAAAAGAGGGGAAGTCTAATAAACTTCTATGGTTTTAAGAAGACCCCCATGAAAGACGGGTGTGGTGGTGGAGGAGTGAAAGAAACATAAAACGTAAACCATGGAGGTTTTCTCATTCTGGCTTCAACAGGGAAAAAGACAGAGTTAAACTGATACTCCTTCATTTACTTTTCTTTTTTACTGCCACCGAGGAATGACCTGGGGCACTCAGGGAGGGAGAGAGAGAGAGAGAGAGAGAGAGAGAGCAAACACACAGCAGGTTTCTTTTTTGTATAAGATGCGGATTATACGTCACCTCTCCAAATCGTATTACTGTCATATTGGAAATCTAAACCAGTTCAGTTCAGCAAGCGTCAGTGACATTAATAGGCAATGGCAGTGATAGTACATTGACTGATTGGCGATAGCATACCATGCCATATTATATTATATTTCTTTTTTATTTTTAACAATAGAAACTTTAATTAATAATTTAATATAAAGAAATAATTAGATGTACACCTAAAAACTAAACCACCCACCACCCATTATGATTTTTTTTTTTTGGACGAAAACCACCCATAATGAATAGTCCATGGATTTCTGCTGATATTTGGTCCGAGTACATGTTTAGAACGTTTTCTTTCGTAGGGCGGTGGTGGTAATTGTAGTAATTTATCTTCCTTTCAAGGTCAAATGTTATGGGTATAAGAGCAACTTTAGAAAAGTGGAGGGCTTTTATTTGAGCCAATATGTCTACAGCCCTTCGATCAATGGGCTTAAAATCCTTTTAATCTTTTTCTTGAGACGAATGGATGAAATTGAATACAAAGGCGTATGTTGGATTAATCTCTGATTGGAGTTCGACTTGCTTTTGACAATAAAGTGGATTCAATGGATTTCGAACACCTGTCATTAAGATACTAGGTAGCTTGTTAATTGTAAGTGACAGTTTACCATCGCACGACACCTTGTAATTTAACATAATGTAATTTTCAAATATCGTATAGCTAGTCAATTCAGCTTTGTAGTCTTTGTCTTTACTTTTTATTTTTTATTTTTTATTTTTTATTTTTTTATAAATTTGTTACCTTTATCCTCTCACTATCATATTCCTTTTCATTCTCTATCTTTAATATTAAAATAATAATAAAAATCTAATTAAAAATTACAAAATGTACTCTTGCTTGTGACAGATATATTTGAGTTCATGTTATTTTATTTGAGCTAATAACGAAAGATGTATTTTGTGGGCCTTTATTTCTGGTTTAATTGGGTAAGTTTGGAATTACGTTTATGAGTGCTGCTATTTCCCCTATTTTTCTACACGCCTTATCTTCTCACTTATTATATAAATTTAAAAGATTTATATATGGTGTTCTCTCTGAGTTTTTGTTTTAGTAGTTCAACAATTTGCCTAAGCCTCAATGACAAAACACAAGCATGAGATTGAGCCGAATCAACTTCCTAGTGTGATGGTTGCTTATGTACAGACTAGACACACAAGGTTAGAAGAACACAACTGCCTGCATCAAATGGTAAAAGAATGGCCTAGCTTATTTGTTACAGAGTCATCTAATACACAATTGGTCGCGTGGGTAGTTTGGTCGCCCTTTCCTCCTCAAGTTGCCCAGTTGGGACAGAGATGTGTCTGGTGATGAGATTAGGAGGGGAGGTTGGTTGTCGTGGGTTCGAGTGGGTAGTTTGGTAGTTGTTTACTGGGCTTTTGTTTTTTCTTTTTAATTTTCTGTTTTTATTTTTACTTTAACGTTGACTCAACAGTGTTACTTAGAGTTAAGTTGGTGTCAAGGTGTGAACAAATTAGCTAAGGAACTGAAGTCTAGAATGAGTGGGTTGTGTGACCTTAGAACTCATTTTACAAACGGGTAAATTTGTCTTTAAAATTTTGAAGATAAAGTGGGTGGGGAAATGGGACAATGAGGTAGAAATAGCAGCACTCATTTTTATTTTTCTCAAGTACAAAGGAGAGTAAATAAGGAATACAATGTTGGATGAACCTGACCGCATGTACTACTTTTGAGTACGGGGTTAACTTCAAGAACCATTAGTGACAAAAAATAAAATAAAATAAAGGCGCAACTTGATAATTTCATAAACTTCTGTTGTGATAAAAACCCTTAAATAATACATAAATAGTAAAATCTCAGAAGAAATATATTTGAACTCTGAAAGTGATTTATTTATTATACAAGAGGTGCCTTTTCAACCAATAGAAAGGCTGTGTTTGTTTTTTGGCCATAACATAATGAAATGTAGTATATTAGAGAAATTCATATTAGACAATTGTTTGTTGTAGTATGGTGGATGCCTTAAATCAAGTTTATTTCTTGGTCGAAAGCCTTAAATCAAGTTGGTGATTAAAGCAAGAAAAGAAACCTCTCAACGCACTGGGCCAAAATCCATGGGTCGTCCCTTATTGATTTCTCATTAACAGTCCAACATCAAATATCAAGCCTAAATCTTAAAAGCAAAACTTCAAGGCCCAAACAATGTCTTATAATATTTTAGTAGTTTTAACAATCTTATCAAGGTTTTTCCTTAGGGGGCGAAACCAAAAGAAAAAACTCTAGGAAATAAAACAATCACTGTTTGGTCTAATAGTTGTTGAGAGAGACAAGATTTTCTGATTATAATGATTCAATATATTTACTTGGGTGAGAACCCATGTATATATGCAAGCCTAAAGTTGACTAATTACATAGCTGAAACATAGCTCTAAATTACAGCGTATAAAATAGGAGACTTAGTTGACTAATCATCTAAATTACAAGAGATGAAATAGGGAAATACATAATAGACGTAATTGACTTTAACAACCCCCCTCAAACGGAAGATGCTCGAGAAAGCATGTGAAGTTTGGATAACAAAAACCAGAAACGTACTTCTGAGTGAGACTTAGTAAAGAGGTATGCAGACTGGTGCTCAGAGGCAAGATAGAATAGAGAAATAGTCCCTTGGGAGACATGGTGGCGAATGAAGTGGCAATCAACCTCGATATGCTTGGTGCGCTCATGAAACACATCGTTACGGGCAATTTGAATAGCACTCTTATTGTCACAAAACAAAGAAGTACATGAAGGAAGAATGACACCCATATCATGAAGGAGCCAGGGAAGCCAAAGAACTTCAGAAGTGGTATGAGCTAGAGCACGATATTCAGCTTTAGCGCTAGAACGAGCAACCACTGTTTGTTTCTTACTCTTCCAAGAAATCAGAGAATCGCCAAGATACAAAATCCAGTAGTTGAACGACGATAAGTGATATCTCCAGCCCAATCTGAATCGAAATAAGCTCGAAGGGTGAGATTAGATTTGGAGGAAAAATGAAGTCCTTGAAACAGATTACCCTTGAGGTACCGTAGGATGTGAAGCACAACAACAAAGTGCACTGATTGTGGGGCAGCCATAAATTGACTCACAATGTGAACGGCGTGACTAATATCTGGTCTCGTGATTGTGAGATAGTTAAGACTCCCAACAAATTCTCAGTACAACATTAGGTTGAAGAGTAAGGTACCATCAGAAGCATGGAGTTTAACATTTTGCTCAAGTGGGGTGTTGACAACCTTTGAATCAGTTAAACCTGCACGCTGTAAGATATCTGAAGCATACTTAATTTAAGAGAGAAAATAACCATCAGGTGAGTAATCAATTTCAATACCAAGAAAATATCGAAGCTGGCCAAGATCTTTCATTTCAAAACATGCCTGCAAATGAGATTTAAGACATTGAATACCATCTAAGTCACTGCCAGTAATGACCATGTCATCTACATAAAGAAGAAGAATAACAATGCCATGATCGGAGGTGCAAGTGAACATGGCAGAATCATGAGGACTCTGAGAGAATCCATATGTAAGAATAAAGGTGCGAAATTTCTCAAACCACGCTTGTGGAGCTTGCTTAAGCCCATATAAAGCTCTTTGAAGTTTACATACTTGATTAGGGGAATGAGGAAAGCCAGGAGGTGGTTTCATATAAACTTCTTCATGAAGATCAACATGAATGAATGCATTTTTAACGTCCATTTGATGAAGTGTCCATTGGCGGACTGAAGCAACTGCTATGAGAGTTCGAACAGAAGGCATACGAGCAACATAAGCAAAGGTCTCTGCATAGTCGACTCCGTATTCCGTATTAAACCCTTTAGCAACAAGGTGAGCCTTGTACAGGTCAATACAACCATCAAATTTGGTTTTAATCTTATAAACCCATTTGCACCCTATTGCGATTTTACCACGAGGCAGTTGCACAAGTTCCCACGTGTTTGTTTTTGCCAGGGCATCTAGTTCCTCGGACATGGCTTGCTGCCACAAGGGATTTGCAGAAGCCTCTATATAGGATGAAGGCTCATGTAATGACAACATATTAGTTAAATAAAAAAGATAATATGAATACTTAGCTGGTGGATGATGATCACGGTGAGGTCGAGAAGAAGCCATTAGAGCATTATCAAGTGGCAGCAAATGAGTTTCTTGTGGTGGCAGATCACTTTCTAGAGGAGCAGATGGAAAGCGGTGCATAGAGTTGTCTGAAATTGATGGTAGACAATCATCCCTTGGTGTGCTTATTGATGGGGCATTGGAAGAGCTAGTTGGCGACTCAATGGATAGCAAGGAGGGATTATGAGAATGAGTAGAGGTGGACTCAATGAATGGGTCAAGAAACTGAAAGGTGTGGGAAGATGAGGTTTATGTGTTTGGTTCCCCAAAATGTGACATGGCGAGAGATACGTAATTTTTTGGTCAGTGGATCTGTTTCCCTCTTTTCGGCCGAGGCGGCCGACGGAAGGGACTTTTGGTCCTTCTTCTTTTGAATGCGGGGCGTGTCACCACCAAACCTCGAATTTGGGCTTGATGGAATGAGAATATATGGATGTGTTGCGCTTCTAACTTCTGACCAAATGATTGATCTCCCAAGCAAGGAACCTCCTCTTGGCCTAGATTCTTTCACTTCCTCGGGCTCGAGGATGGTTAGGTTTCGTATAGATATTTTTGTGATTTTTAGGGTTTTATGTAAAAATAATGCAATTAAACTAAATATGCGTATAAACGTAAAGACAAGAATTGAAGTGTGACAAAATAAATCAAATCGATAAATAAAGCTAGAACGAAATAAAAGCAATAAGAACAACAAGAACAATAAGAACGATAAAATAAACAAACTTGAAATTAAACTTAATTGAAGTGCGATAACAATGAAATGTAAAGGAATCGAAATAAACTTGAATTTAAATGACAAGAAATATAAATCGAACAAGAATTTAAATGACAAGAAAAATATAAACTTACACTAGAAAAAGGAAGAACTCACTACACTAGGTGCTTGAAAAATAAAATCCTATGTCTAGGAAAAGAAAAGTGTGAGACGAAAGATAAGTTTATTTGTCTGATGTTGTGTGTCTTTGTCTTTGTTGAGCAATGTTTATATAGGGCACTCGTCAGCCCATGGGCTGGCCATTGATGGCCAAAGGTTAACTCTTTTAAAACTTCTTTCCTTCCAAGGCCCCCTTAAATCCGTAGGATTGCATTAATTGAAATATTCTAACATACTTGATTCTTCCTTGCTTTGGAACACTCGGAGTTACTATAAAAAAAAATCCCTTGATTTCTTTCCTTGTAAGACCTCCGTCAAGTGCACATAATTCTCCGAAAATTTGGGCTTGAATCGTTGGCTTAAACTTGGGCATCCGATTTCTCTTATATTGTCATCCATATAATATATATTAGACTTCATATTATTCAATATATATATATATATATATATGTATGTATGTATAAGCATACAATAGAACGAGGAAGGCTTAACTTCCAGCCTGGCTGCACGTCTTCATTCACTTTTTATATATACTTATATATATATATATATATATATATATATATATATTATATCAATATGAGAATAACCATTCGGCAGCCCACTTTGCAAAACTTCATAAAGCACCAGCTCTAAACATTCGGCCGCCATTTATATATCTCTATATTATATATAATTAAAACAATTAGTTTTAAAGCTAAAAGTCCCTCAGCCCAATTTGCGACATTTCAAATACCTCCAGCCGCAACTCCGCAAGGCTCCAACACTTCCAGATTTCGACCGCCAAAACCACTGGTCTCCAGCCCAAAAGATTCAGTCGCAACAACCACTCAATACTCGGCCGAGATCTCCACACAATCCCGCCCGCGAACTCCTCCAATCCCGGCCGAGATCTCCAAAGAGGGGATGCGATTAATGATAAATACATAAGTGTGAATAGATTCCCCCCAAAAATGACTAGGAACAGATGAGGAAATCAGTAAAGATCTAGCCGTTTCTATAATATGTCGGTGTTTACGTTCTACAACACCGTTTTGTTGTGGTGTTTCGGGACAAGAAAGTTGTGGAGTAGTTCCTTGGGATTTTAGATAATCAAGGAAAGAAGTGGAGATATATACCCCACCGGAATCAGAACGAAACACTTTGATGGTTTTGGAGAACTGAGTTTGAATCATGGTGCTAAACTCGATATAAATCTTAAGAAAATCTGAACGAGAACGTAATATATATATCCATGTGTAGCGAGAGTAATCATCTACAAATAAAACATAATATAAAGCACCTCCCATGGAGGAAATTGGAGCTTTACCCCAAATATCAGAGTGCATAAGGTCAAAGGGAGCGGAGGAAGATGTTGTACTATTATTAAAAGGAAGAGCAGGTTGTTTTGCCAATCTACAAGTGACACAACAAGGTTCTTTGTCAATTTTAGATTGATCCAACAATCTTTTATTGAACATATAGCGAAGACAAGAAAATGAAATATGGCCTAGACGTGAGTGCCAAGACATGAACGGTGTACAAGTAGGTGTAGAGGCAGCAAAGAGCGATGTGATGGGTGAGCAAGGAATGTGAAGCTTGTCTACTGCATATAATCGACCAACTCTACGGCCGGTCTCAATCTGCTTCTTCATCAAGTGATCCTGAATTATACAACCAGAGGAAGAAAAGATAACATTAAGCCCAAGATCACATAGTTGTCAGACAGATAACAAATTCATTGACAATTTAGGGATTAAGAATACATCTGGAAGTGACAAAGCATCAGTTATTTTAATATAACCAATATGACTAGCTGTAACAGGTGATCCATCTGCAGTATGAATTATTGGTGATGAAGTAATAGGTGTAGAGTGGTGAAAAGATGATGGATCATATGTCATATGATTTGATGCACATGAGTCCAAAAAACATTATATTTAATATTTACCTGATGGTACAGAAAAAGCATATGCAACCTTAGGATTATTACTGACATTGTTTTTCATATTAAGAGCTTGATGAATCATCTCTTGGATATCTGCTGCAATTGGTGTAGTGGATTGAGCAGTGATGTTTCTGCCATCATATGGAATAGAGGCTGCTGTAGACGATACAGTAGTAGTTGAGCTTTTCTTCTGCCTCATATAGTGAGAGTTGGGATGAGGACAGAAGCTGACCTTGTGTCCATACTCTTTGCAATAACGACATTGAATTTGAGATAAATCACGTTGGGGTATATCTGGATTTCCTTTATGAAAAGTATTATAGGAGCGAGGGGCAACAATACTGAGTTTATGTCAGGATTAATGCCATTTCTTGTATCTTCTGTGAGGAGCTTGGTCATGGCAGTATCCATTGTTGGGAGAGGTGACTCATGTAAAATTGATGCTCTTACAGATTCAAACTCATCTCGAAGTGCCATCAAGAGCTGTACCAGTCTTGTTTCCTCACGATAGGTATCCCACAAAGGTGCATCTACGGTCCATTGAGGTTCTGTGAGTGCCAATTGATCCCATATGACAGACATTTCGGAATGGAAATCTGAAATGGATTGTCCCTTTTGTAGTTTAAGAGATCGTATGTCCCCTTCCAATTTGTATATGTGGGAAAAGTTTTTGTGGACATATCTTTGAGACAAAAAATCTCATGCTTGCTTGGCTGTATCAAATTTCCCAAGTTGCATGTTGATTGACGGTGTGACGGTGTTGGCAATCCATGTGAGAATTTTGTTGTTGTTGATCTCCCAGTCAGCATATTTTGAATCATCTTTGCCAGGACACTTTGAATCACCACTAATGTACTTCCAAAGACCCCTTCCCTTGATAAAGCTTCTCATGAGAAAGGACCAGTGGCTGTAGTTGTGTCCATCTAGTCTAATAGTGATAGGTTGGGCAGATTCCAAGGCCATTAGATAATTGAAAAGGGATAGTGAATAGATCACATGTAAAGCAAGAGTTTCAAAGCTGTAGGGGACATCGAGATACATGATAGGGAATAGCAGCAATGATACAAGAAAACGAGAAGAGCTAATCAAAGAAAAAGCTTTGATACCATGTTGAGAGAGACAAGATTTTCTAATTATAATGATTCAATATATTTATTTCGGTGAGAACCCATGTATATATACAAGCCTAAAGTTGACTAATTACATAGCTGAAACATAGCTCTAAATTACAGCATATAAAATAAGAGACTTAGTTGACTAATCATCTAAATTACAGGAGACGAAATAGGGAAATACATAATAGATGTGATTGACTTTAACAATAGTGAAGTGATACACTATGCAATGATCATATTTAAGGACTCGTTTGGGAGTAATTCTAATCATTTTTGGGGAGAAGCACCTCTCATTTAAGGGTAAGTTAGAGATATATGTCCCAAAACATAAGGTTGTATCGCATTAATTAGGTTGAACAAGTGCTGTTTTCAGTTTAATTTTTTGTTATCTTTGGCTACAAGGGAGGCTAGGGAGAGTGGATAGGGCGCAGCGTGATGCTCTCAACCAATGTACTACAAATCTCGATAGTGATGTTTTTATTCCGTATAAGGGAAATGTTGGCTAGTATGCAAACAATAAAAACCATTAAGAGTTCAAGAAATTATAAGCATGCCACCACCCATTTGAGAGAGAGAGAGAGAGAGAGAGAGAGAGAGGTGTTTCATAACGAAGAAGGTCACTACTTGTGCTAGCATTGGTGTGCCTTTTCCCAACCTGTTTGTGAAACGTTCTCACACGAATTCTAATGATAGGCCCCAAGACAGTTGAAAAATGCTAGTGTGAGGAAGAAGAAGCTGCCCAGCGTTTTTATTTATTTATAATTTATAAAAACATGCTTGCCAAAAAGGCGTCGTTTTGGCCCAACTTTTATTATTTATTTTTTTAAAACATGCTGGCCAAAACAACGTCATTTTGGCCCAACAAATTAATATATATATATATAAATAAATAAAAAAGACATGGCCAAAACGATGTCGTTTTGGTACAAGTCTTTAAAAAAAAATATATTAAAATGGTTTCAAAACCCCTCCAACCTACCCTAGTGTCTCCAAAACCCCCATTCTTAACCCTAAATCCCCAATCTCCCTCTCCCCCCCCCCCCCCCCCCCCCCCCACCCCCCTTCTTAAGCCCCAGTTCCTCCATTGCCACCCTTGTCAGCAGTGCTACCGCCGCCAAAAGCTTGCCTCCGCTTCCATCACCTCACAATTGAAGTAAATTCTAACTCTAAACCTAAATTACTTGAATTGAAATTGAATTTATGATTGTATTATATTGTTTTGATTTATTGGATGTTTCATTTATGAATTTTTTGTGGTTAATTGGTATAAATTTGGTGTTCACTTTAAATCATTTGAGTTATTATTTTGATTCATTTATGTAGAATTATGGAAACATTTTTTAAGAGAAAGTCATCATTGGTTAGTCCAGATAATGTGGGTAGTTCAAGAACTTCAAGTTCAAGACAAAGTGAGTTAGACGAGGTTTTGGCTAATCTTTAGACAGACCCTGGACTAAGAATTCATATGATTGAGTATGATACTAATATTAGAGATGAGGAGCATATCTACAAAAAGGACCTTTGTTAACCTAGAGTTCATTTTTTCCCACAAAGTAATATATCAGGAATTAATCGACGCTTCATTCCCCACATTATCATGAGTGGTTTAAAAGATAGATTCTTTTCTAAATTGGTGGATGAAACACGTGATGTTTTAGTGAAAGAGCAAATGGCTATGGCGTTGCATTATGTGAACGACTAAGGGCATGTAATTGAAAGGTTTGTGGGAATTCAACATGACACTACTTCAAGTTCACTAAAGGATTCCATTGACACACATCCTTTTCTTCCAACAATTAAAGCCTTTCCAAGCTACGAGGACAAGGTTATGATGAAGCTAGCAATATGAAAGGTGAGTTGAATGGCCTTAAAACAAAGATTTTGAGAGAATAACCATGTGCATATTATGTTCATTGCTTTGCTCATCAACTTCAACTAGTACTTGTTGCCGTGGCAAAGAAGAATATTGATATTGCCTCTTTCTTCACAACCACTAATAGTGTGGTTAACCATGTTGGAGTATCTTGTAAGCGGCGTGATGCACTTAGAGCGTAACTCCAAGAAGAGCTTGTGATAGCTTTTGACAATGATTGTCTTATAACGGGGCGAGGTTTGCATCAAGAAATAAGTCTCAAATGTTCCGGCGACACACGATGGAACACACATTACGGTACCATTATTAGCATCATTTCTATGTTTTCATCTGTGATTTATGTGCTTCAAATGATTATTGATGATAATCCCAGTGATATGCCAGTGAAGCAAATAAGATTCAAAGAGAAATGCTTACTTTTGAATTTGTGTTTCACATATTCTTAATGAAAGCTATATTGGGACTCCCAAATGATGTGTCACAAGCATTGCAAAAGAAAGATTAAGAATTGTGAATGCAATGGCTTTAGTGAAATCATGCAAGGAAAAGCTACATTGGATGAGGAATAATGGGTTTGATGTATTGGTTGATGAGGTATCTTTATTTTGTGACAAACATCAAATTGATGTTCCTAACATGGATGAGGCATTCATACTTCCAGGGAGGTCAAGGTGTAATGTTCCAATAAAGACAAATCGTCATCATTGTCGTGTGGAGCTCTTTATTTATGTCATTGATGAGCAAATTACGGCGTTAGATGATCGTTTTAATAAGGTAAATGTTGAGTTTCTTATTTGTTTGGTATGTTTGAGTCTGAATGATTTATTCGTAGCTTTTGATAAACAAAAGTTACTTTGTCTTGCTCAATTTTGCCCTCAAGATTTTTTGAATGGGGATCTTTTGGCACTTGAAGATCAACTTGACCTATCATGTTCGTTCAAGTAGTGATTTATCTGAATTGCAAGGGATTGCTGGTCTTGCCAAAACAATGGTGGAGACAAGGATGCATCAAGCATTCAATTATGTGTATTTGCTTATTACATTGGCTTTAGTTTTACAGGTTGTAATTGCTTAAGTCGAGAGGGCATTTTCCGTCATGAATATTATCAAGGGTACACTTTGGAACAAAATGGGAGATCAATGGTTGAGTGATAGCTTGTTTGCTTACATTGAGAATGATGTTTTTTATTGTATTGAAAATGAAGCTATAATGCTACCTTTTCAAAATATGAAACCTCGTTGTGGACAGTTGTAATTTGTAATGTTGTTTTTGACATGAATTATGAATGAATGTACTATAGTTTCATTTTCAATGTTATTTTAATCTTTTTTTTAAAAAAAAAATTGAACTTTTACACTATGAGATAAGATTCTTAGGTCCACTGCCCAAGACCTCTTCCAAAAGAACCATTTCACAAACCAAACAGGGCCTTAGTTTGAGTTGACATTTAGCTTCTTAAGGCCATCTCCAATGCAAGGGGCTAAACTCAAAATTTAGGATTTGAGCCCAAAAAACTCCACCAACGCACGTATAGGAACGGCCCAAATTATTACCTAGCTGAGTTTTGTGGTGGAATTTGGAACCTTTTTGCAGTCCGGGCAATAATTTTGTGGGGCCCGTTGCAACAACCCAAAATTTAAATAATTTTTAATTATTAATTTATTCAAGAAAAAGACTAAAATGCCCTTTGGAATATTTTATTAGGATTAAAGTTGACTTTTTGACCAGGAAGGAATCTGAAAATTTTGATTGGACCGTTGCATACAGAACGTTGAAATGAGTTCGTAGACACGTAGTGGGCTCAAATCGAAGTTGTAACGAAGGAATGGTGATCAAAAATAGGCTAGTGGTAAATAACTCGAACTTGATTTTAGAAAAATCAGAATTTCCTCTCCTCCTCGCGCGACATTTTCCCTCTCTCTCTCTCTCTCTCTCTCTCTCTCTCTCTCTCTCTCTCTCTCTCTCTCTCGACATCGTTCTCCCCCCTCTATCTCTTCAATTCTCCCAGCCTCAACCACGGCAAGGGTTGGCACCGATCACGATCGAATTGGCTCGACCTCGCCTTCTCGACCCACCCCTTTTCCAAGCCGGAAAACTCAAGAACCGCCGACGGTTTCGACTAGTTTGAACCGGTCTCCTCCCGTCGTCGCGTCGTCACAACCGCCACCCAAATCCGATGGATTAGGTGAGGTTTCCTCCTCTTTTTTCATGCCCTAGCTGCCTGTTATGTAGGATTTCAACGATTGTAGAGTTTTGAAATTCAATTTTGAACTTGGGTTTTGGCCCGGATTTCGAATTGAAATTCTAGCCACTTGCCGTCTAAATTGGACCTCCTCGTGGTTGAATAAAATGCTCCACACACACACACACACACACACACACTCTCTCTCTCTCTCTCTCTCTCTCTCTCATGTAGGATTTTCTTTGAATCAAATTGTTCTGTTGTATATTCTTGAATTAGTTGCTCTGATGAATTGCCCTAGGACTTTCTGTGTGGCCTGAGGCAGTTTAGTTAAGCAGAATTGTTTAGATGTAAATTGGAAGCATGCTGGCAATTGAGATATTTATGTATATGCTTTGTTGACAGGTTGAAATTTTGGGAAATGATCAAATTACAGAGGAGGCTCTGCTGAATTTTCAGCAGAAGTCAAACTTGTAATAAACTTTGAATTTTAATTAGAAGGGCAATTTAGTCATTTGTGCTCGGCACCCGCCAGGTGTCGGACACGCACAGGGTTCAACTCAGATTCCAAAGTGGAATTTGGGTTAGGTCATGTCACCCGTACTGTGAGAATCTTTTTCTTTTCTTTTTTTAATTTTAAAAAAAAACTATATATATTATTATGTTAAAGAAATATTCATACTATATATTTATGGTTTATTAAGATGACTTTTCCTTATTTAATATTTATTGTGGAGACCTATATGTTATTAAATTTTAAGTTAAGTATGAGATTATTCCTTTACGTGAAAG